TATTTCAGTCATCTCTTCTTTAAATTGTACGACATAAAATTAAGGGAAAACTGCAAGAATTTTAAATCAATTATGAGAATATATTTACTTCGTTTTTTTTAATACCAGATCCGTTTTTTCCCCCTTAAAAACAGAAATTACAAATGACAGAAAATATTTTCAAAAAGTGACTTATTTCAGTCATCCCTTCTTTAAGTTCAATATTAGGGGGGAAGCTGCAAGATTTTTAAATTACAAGAATATTGTCATGTAGAAATTTAATTAAGAGGATAGTCAGATTTTTTTCATACCAGATTCTATTTTAATAATTTTTTAAATCACTTTCTTTAAAAAAAAAAAAAAAAGACAGAAAATATTTTTACTTCAGTCAATGCAGGATTCGGGCCAAACTGAGACGTTTTGTTTAATTACAATAATGTAGTCATAATACTAGCCGAATAAAAATGCAATTTTACCAGAAAAATGTCTTAAAATTACACAAGAAAAGCTCTTGGGTAGATAGTTTTTTGTTTTTAGCTTCGGAGTTCTCAAAAATTACTACTTTGTTTTTCGGCTTTACTCTCAACCTGACCGTTATATTCTGACCTGAATTCAATGTCCAAATAAATAGAAGCTGTAAAACAAGACGGCGGTTCTTGGTGCATCGCTCTAAACAACAAAGTGAGAATTGGTGGAAAAGGGAAAAAAAAAAAAAAAACTGCGCAAATTCTTTTTTTCAAAAACAAGAACAAATGTGCTTAATGTATAAAATTATCGCCCAGCCCTTTGGAAGCATCCTGCTGTGCACATCCTGAGAGCAGCTTAAGAGGAGGGTTAAAACTCAGACTCGCTTTTTAATTAGAAATGCCCTGATCTGACCCCTAAAGAGAAAAATAAAACTCCAAATGTTACCGCTGCAGGCAGAAATCGCATTTTAGTTCGTTTAGTTTATTCTGGACATTTCAATCACACCGTGATCCGCGCTCTCTCACTCATCACACGACAGCGGAAATAAAATTTTAATCTTCACCACACAAGTCTGCTGGTAGTATTGCATCCCAATCATGAATATTGTGGCCAAACGCCAAACGTAAAACTAATACCGGGTGCCGAGTGCAGCCAGGGAGATAGTGTTCACACGCATGATATAAAGACTGGAATAAAAGGCAACAAAGACATAATGCAGACGGCAGAAAATAGAGTACATAAAACGATGAATGCAGCGGGAATCGAAGGATGTCAGGCGGCTGGTGAGGTCAGCGGAGGTCAGCGGAGGTCGCTCTCGTCGTCCTGGATGGCCTTCTTGATGCGTAGCAGCATGGTGGTGAGCCACTGGTCCAGACGGGAAATGGTGTCATATTCCTTCACCTGGAAATAATCCCAACATGCAATTAAACAAAAAACAACCATTTGATGTGGCTGAACGAGAGAATCATCGCTGAAGGTTTTTGTTTGGAGAAAACTGTAAATCTGGCAGATATAAGGAAGTAAAATCCCAAACACTTCTGCTTTTTTCTGTTTAAAACCAATGTTTAAATTGGCTAACTAGCCATTAGCAGCTAGTTAGCGGTAGCCTCGACCGCCTGAAGTCACAGAACCCAATAAAGACGACCAAAACTTCTGCCTGACAGAAAAGTAACGCAAGAAAAAAAAAGAATCCCTACAAGTTTGAATAGTCCCTTAACAACAAAATGTAAGACCTGTGATTAGCATATTTACATTTAGTCAATTTAAGCAACAAGCCTGGGTCTGTCCACTCACCGCGTCAGTGTAGCCGTCCACGTTCTGTTCTTCATACGCATCTAGAAGTTTCTGTTGGGAATAAAAACACATTAAATGGCAGACAATAGAGCCGTAAAAAAGTGCATTTCATTATTCAACCATGTATAGATTTATACCAGCTGATAATCCAACCATCCAAATGTAAATAAAACAAATATAACAAGATAGTTTAAGGCTTCCCAGTAAAGTTACTGATTTTTAGATGTAAAAGTTGTTTAAAAAGACAAAAAAGGAGCAAAATACAATAAACACCTCAAAGAACACATCAAATGTGTTACTTCAAGTAAACAGAAGAGTAGGCCTCCAACATTTAATTAAATCTGTGAGCTTTTGATTGGATAAATATGTAATATTTCAGTCAGATTAAACATCCTGGATAAGAACGTCAAAATTCTTATCCAGTGGTTTCCTCCTATAAACCTAGTTCTTGGTTTGATTAAAGTGAACTCTGGTGTGATTTGAATGCTTATGTGAACACCAAGTGGACCTGAGATTGCTCCAAAAGCAGGAAGTGGACTACAGCTCAGGGCATTCTGGGTAAGTACAACAAACGAGCTAATCTAGTGCTAGCAGGAGAAATAACTCGTGGTCTTTCACTAAAGACGAAAGTAAAATCCTACAACTGCTAAAATCTGATGCTTCTTCACTTTTGTTTACATTTTGTGATGAAGAAAGTTGCGCTCAGTGTCTTCTTCAGATGTTTTTGTGTCGTTTCCTTCAGTGGGTCTTGGTGCGGCGCCCCCACAGGTGAGGGGGGGAACATGTTTTTTTTTTTTTTTTAAAGAATTTGGTTTGTTTGATTCAGTCAGTGTGAAACTGAACTACAGCAGCTGAAAATGTAACCAATGTTGCAATTTTGTTCTCCAATCGAACTCAGTCTACCAGACTATCAGGTGTGAAAACACCCTTAGATTTAACGCAGAATTGCTTCCTGGGAAACCGTTCGCCACGTTGACATTTAGTCATTTTTCAGTCGGCCTACCTTCAACAGCTTGCACTCTCTGGAGTCTGAAAACGCTGGAAACATTTCTTCATACTTCTGCATGGCAAGCTGAGCGGACAGCAAAGAAAACAGCCTTAAAGCAGAAGCTAACACTACGCTAGCTTCACAGCTAGGAAATTTAATGTAAATTATGCTCACCTTTGCGTTTAGCATGTCTACACAGAAGTGACACAGCGCCGCCTTGAAGAAGTGATCCTTGGCACTGTATTTCAGGAGCGTACTGTCCATCGCGTGAGTTCCAACCTGAAGTCAAGAGCTTACGCTTATTTTACAGATTCTTTGCTCAGCAAGACGTCAGACGCTAAATGTTTAATATCTCACCTGCTCGTAGATCTCTATTGCTTTCTGGTATTGCTCCAGCTGGGCTGCATAGGTCGCAACTTTAAGAAGGCACTTGTTTGCAGAACTGAAAAAAGAAACCCCGTTTAACAAACCTACATATTTAATTATTTGAAGTAAAGCGCAGAAAAGTGTTTAGATATTATCTAAAATATTCACCTGGTGGATTCTTCACCTTTATAATAATCTGCTGCTTGTTCAAAATGAGCAATGGCCTGTAAGTAAAAATGTAAACAAAGGTTATTTTTTTAAAAAGTAAACAGAATTAAATTAAAATGAATGGTTTCATTTTTCTTTAACCTTGTCGATGTCCACCAACTCTGTCTCGTAAATCTCTGCGATGGATATGTGATGCTTCGCTGCGATGGTGAAACGACCCTGAAAACGGACGAAAACACCGACTTTCACAAAAATCAGCTTTAACCCAAACTTAATAAAAGGAAAACACAAACTCACCATATCTGTGTAAATCTCGATGGCTCGGTTTAAGCAGTTGATAGCCTCTGTAGAGAGGAAACATTGAGTCGAGAGCAGAAACCCAAACAAGTCCAGACATTTACACGCCTGTCATGACAACTAAATCTGCTGGACGATAAATAATCCCAGAAGTTACTGCGATAAACAATAATGTTGTCACTTTGAGATAATTTTCAAGTAATATAGTGGTAATAATGGCATAATAATGCAAGTACAAACTGTCACAGATCAATAAACTGTTAATAAACAATTTAACTCTGGAACTGGAAGATATTTTAAATAAAAAAATCAACAAATCAAACAGATGCTGAAGTCTTTGTAAATAAAACAGTTCCTGACAAAAGGGCTAAATGTGTAACAGTGTATTAAGGCCACTGTAGAAAAGAAAAGAGCCAACAATTTTGAGATTGAGCTGAGAATTTCTGAGTTTGAAAAGTCAAAAATTTGCTACAAAAAAAAAAGTTTGAGACAAATCTCAGCAATTTTTGAGAAAAAAAATTGAAAATCTCAATTTCAAAAGTCAAAAATTTCACAACTTTTTAAACTCAAAAATTTCCAAGTATTTTTTCTATAAAATTTCCAAGCATTTTTCTATAAAATTTCCAAGTTTTTCTAGAAATTTTGGGAATTTTTTTAATGGAAATTTACTCCTCATTTTTTATTTTTTCTATCTACAGTGGCTCTGATACGTCGTATCGTAGATAAGACTAAAGCAGAGACTGAATCTTTTTGTCATTGAGTCTTTGGTAGAAAAGAAACACGAGGAAAAAAATATCAGTCATACAAATGGAAAATATTGATGAATTTATGTTTTGCTTATATTTTCAACAGATATTTAGTCTTACACTAGATTTAAGGCTATGTATCTAAAGGAAGATTAAATAAATAATAAAAAAAAGACCTATTATTTTTATTCTTTTTGTAGTTCCTGGATAAATAAAGCTGAAGGCCTTAAAAACCAGATGGTCAGACCCCCCACTGAGCTTCCACTAGGGGTCAGTCTGGAAAAAAAACAACCAAACTCAAACACCATAAATCCATGATCACAAAGCTTTGAACAAATCAGCTAATTAAGATCAATAAATGCTGCTCTGTATGACAAATAACAATTAAACACAATATTCTGAGCCATTTTCACCCAGAATGCAGCAGAACCAAAGACACAGGAGCCAGACTGACCTTGTGGATCTGCTTTTTTGAAGGCGTTTCCAGCGTCTATCAGGTTGGTGGCTGCATCGTGTTTGCTCTGCATCTGCAGGTGAAGATGAGCAGCTTTGGAGAAAGCATTTCCTGCAGCTGAGAGCAGAAGGTTTGGTGTTAAAACAGTGATGATAAATACAGACGAGAACAAGGTGGAGGCGAGGTCGGCCTTCTTACCACACCAGTTCTTCACCATCTTGTACATGTTGGCTGCTCTCACATACATGTCACAGGCCTCTTCCAACTTAGAGGAACCGCTGGAAAACACACACTTTTATAAAACATAATGATCTAGACCAGCCTTCCTCAAACTGGTGGTCTGTAGGCGCCCTCTACTGGTCTACTGCATGTAATCAACCGTTATTTTGCTGCAACGCTGCAGTTAGCTTAGCAAAGGATTGTGTTTAAAAATAATAATGGATAAGTGGCCAACTATCTGAAGCTGAAGATACTGGTGGAAAGTTTCACAGGTTGAGTTGCAGAACTTTTGTCTTTGAACATTATTCCATAGCATGCTGCTGGATGCGATGTGATGGTGATGAAGCGGCGAACAGCGCTGCGCCCCGCGCTCACTACCTGCATCTTAACCCCTAATATAAAATTACTTATGTTGGACTTCCTACTGTTTGAAAGAAAATGTTTGTTTTTGCCAAAGCGACTCATATCTATTTTTTTATGTTTCTAAATTGCAAATGGTCCTAAAATGTTATTAATGCACACAACATTTGTGGTAAAGAACTTTTTTGATTTCCATGTGTTTTCTATCATTGTAAAGATTAGACGCCACATCTGCAAATAACTCAAAACGCCCAAGTCACATAAACAAAACAGCGTCACCTTTCATATTAGGAGGAACAAAAACAATGAGTCAAGAGGCCAATGTTTTATTTCAGGTTGTATATGTTGATGTGTTATTGCGGGGGTAATTTCTAGTTAGGTGGTCCGTGAGTGTTTGTTAAATGGGGTAAGATTTTCAGGTCCTCGGCCTGAAAAGGTTTGAGAAACGCTGATATAGACAAAACTAAAGTTTTCATCTCTATTAGGTTTAAACGGCTGGATAAGATTGTTGTTCTCTGTTGAAAGAGAAAGAAATTAGATGAGAGCAAACCAGCATTTTTAGTTCTGTGAAGTAACTAGTTACATTTACTCAATTACGTTTACTTGAGTAACTTTTTGGAGAAAAAAAACTTTTAGGAGTACTTTTACTACTCTGTACTTTTTACTTTTGCTTGAGTAATTTTATTCTGAAGTATTTTTACTGTTGAGTAAAATTTCTGGATTTTCTACCCACTGAGTGAAAAACAAACATGTTTTACCCAAAAATTCCCCAGACACACACCTGCAGTTTGTGTAAAAGTTTCATCAGTTTTATACTGAAAGAAACTGATTTGGGTTTGTTATTTTTTGTTACCTATATGAATTATTTTAATTCTGTCCTTAAAATACCAAACATTTCACTTAACTTTATATTTTAGTCATTTTTTTAACATTAAAGGATTTATATTTTGATAAGCTACTCAGTTCCTGAGTAAACTCTTTAACAAATACTTTTTTACTCTTGAGTAATTTCTCGGACGAATACTTTTTACTTTTACTTGAGTAAAAGCAAGTTGAAGTAGTGCTACTCTAATTTGAGTGAAGTTTTTGGTTACTCTGCCATCGCTGGTTCTGTGACATAATAACAAATTTTGCTTTGTCCAAGAAATTATTGTAATAAACAATAATTTTGTTGTTTTGAGGCCATTTAAGTAACATAGTAATAATAGCATATTAATACAAGTTCACTCTGTTAAAGACCAATAAAAGTTAATTTTGTACAGAACTCTTAACACTCGAACTGGAGGATATTTTAAATAATACAAAATAAAACAACCAAAACCATAAACAAAATATATTATAATGTTCCTGTAAACAATAATTGTGCTTCAAAAATGTTCATCTTATTGTGACAGACTAATTAGCACCAGTAATGTGCAAACAATCTGTCTTAAATCAAGTCTTAGTTCAACAGAAAGGCAGGATGATGACCTGGTTGTTTTTTGCAGCACATTAAGGAGCTCCAGCTTTCTAATCCTGGCTCGGTCTTCCTGTGTGGGGTTTGTAAATTTTCTCTATGAATCTGTTTGTGCATGGTGTGCCGTGCTTCATACTTAAAGAACACCATCAGGTTTTCATTTTCAGTGTATTTTCCTTTCAGTTCCTTCAATTTTTATGGACACAATGAAAACAATCTCAATACATCACATCAGAAGATAATTCTTAAGGAATCACCTTGTTGCTTCAAAGATTATGACTTGTTTTCTCCAGTTAACAAGTCATGTGGATTTACTGAATATTTAGGGGCCTTTTGGAGCTTATTGTAATTTTTAATTACAGTACATTCAGTGCAATATATGTTTCCTAGTTGCTACTATAAACAAACGTGACTGACATGTGACTTGTACAGATTGACTTCGCCAATAGGAGGCGCTATAGCAGCGACATTACAGAGAGTGTCCGCACATATCAAACTTTATACTTAAATGTGTCATTTAGGTCACATATAAACAAATAATAGCCTGCTACCGAATCGATTTGTGTTAACAATGGAGTTGTCACGACGTATGTCGCCATTTTAGCCGTGAAAAGCAACATATTACGCATTGATGTGTCCAGACGTGTCCAGTCGCGGTCTACAGAAACATTTTGACACTCGTTGATAACCTGGAGCGTTAAGCACCACCGTTTATCACCGTCAGCTGCAGCGATGTTGAATGTTTTGCCATCAGATGTGCTGCTAACTGCTCAGCTAACCATCTTCCGCATAGTTGGCCCTCACACTGGCTAGCAGTCACACACTCACCCAAACATCGAGCCGAAAAACGACTGGGATGACTTTAACTTCTTCTCCGCCTCCGCCATTAAGGCCGCGGCTTCTTTTTCTTTCCCGCTGTTGTCCATTTTTGCTGGCTTTTCCCTCAACGGTCAGGAGCCGCAAGTAATTGCGAAAGTCAACAAACTTAGCTAACGAGTGCTAGCGACAGTGTCACATCAACAACCACAGACTGTCCTCTGTCACGTGACAGGGGAGAAGAGAACCCCTCTGCTGGTGCGTTCAGGTACTCCTCGGAAAACGCGGACACAACCTTTATTTTCTCGTAAATTTCATATTTTAGAGTTCTCGCTCCCTCAAAACTTTTTATTCAGTCATAAAAGAAAAAAATAATTATTTCATCAATTCATTCAGATTTATACCCAAAAAGGAAAGCTATGTGCGTTTTAGTGCTGGGTTCAATGAATCTCGGAACTCGGAGCTATAAATCACGTCACACGAGTTGAAAAAGTTGAGTTCTATGTTTTTAATTAATCAGTACAGAGTCAGTAGTGCATTTGAAATAACGTGTGGCAAAAAACAAAATGTTTTTTTAAAATGCTAAGCAACAAGTCAAGCGTTTTCCATAAAAAATAAAACAAAAACAATATTTACATGAGCAAGAATCACAGTATAACGATTCAAACATTTAGTTGCTCTAGCTTTTTAAGGTCAATTCAATTCTAAAATACTTTATTAACTCCAAAGAGAAATTAAATGCTGTCAGTCATCCAAAATATATTCAAAGTGGAAATCCAGTAGCAGTCAGATCTGCACCTAATCAGAAGAGACCTCTGACTGAAGACTGTTGCTGTATAGTTTTCTCATGACTGTCAGCAGTTAATTTTCTGGGCAGCAGTGATGATATTCCACAGAAACATGTCCTGGATGACAACATCCATTTGGCAAGCCCTGCTAATCCACCTCATTTGTTTTTGCCACTCCTCTTTAAATTTCTGTCTGGCCATATGGTTAAAAAGTAGTCCAATGATCCTTGTCCATCACAATCAATCGAAGAGATGGGCTATTTATAGCGGCATTGAAAAGTGCCACTATAAATAACTCTAGAATTAAAAGAATTTCCCAGGTTTGATTAAGTAATAAAGGATTTTTTTCTCCCTTTAGGCAACTTTCATTTTCACAAAATGGCATTTACAACAAATGAATAATGACAAAAGCTTTTTCCTAATATTTTTTTATTTAGCAATGCTTGTATAAACTGTTTTCATTGTCTCAAAATTCTTAATTCATACACCTTTCTATCAAATAAGAATAACTTTTAAAAGATGAGATATATCTTTAGAAAACATGATCACATATCACTTTGTCACAAATTAATATAACTTTATATCTCTTCATCATCAAAACTGCAACGGGACCTTTGTTGTGTGATACTCAGATTATTTTAACTGCCATTTTTATTGTTTTTCTTGTTGCCTGAAGACATTTTAATTCTATTAAGTTAAAAAATGCTTTATTGATCCCAAAGGAAAATTAAATGTAACTCAAACTATGCAGGTTCTTTCAAAGAATCGCTGTCGTCAGGAAGCATCTCCAGTAGTGGTCTTTGTTACAGCGATTTTGAAGCAATCTCTGACTGAACATACTTTGTTGTTGTATAACAGTTTCATGAATAGGATGCCAAAGTTGTCTATAGTTTTCTTTATTTTATGAAGAATAATTATTTGAACAATAAACTAGATGCTTCAGAGCAATCCACACACACACACACAAGAAAAAAAACAGATAAATTATTAACTCCTGCTTTGGATGTTCTGAGTTTGGCGTCCCTGAATTGTTATGGTAATAAAAAGAAAAAAGAAAACTTGCACTGACAAGTTAATCTTTTCACAATAAAGTTGCTATGTATTGATCTTGTTGCTTATTTTAAAAATCAAAACCATAAGCAGCAGGAAAAAGCCCAGGGATGTTCTCAAATTAGTTGCAATAAATAAATTAATTAAAAAGTTAATAAAGTTAATAAAAAAAAGAAGGAGGATAAGTCTATTTACAAAGTTTAGAAATGTGTAGGGACATGTGATTCATCTCTTCAGTTTAGTACATCTGTGCACATGAAATTTGTTATATGTTCTGCTACTTTTGTCTCTTCATTGGTAAACCTAAACATTTTGTTTTCTACCTACCTTCCTTAGTTTTCTGCTACTTATTATTATTTAAACTGACAGCTCTACATGTGAACATATTTCCTTATAAGATATGTGCAAGAACCGAGAAAAAAGTTAATACAAGTCAGGCAATCTGCAGAGTTTGATTGAATTCAGCTGGAATATCATAGGAAGTATGTGACCTGTTGTGGTTTACATTTCATTACTGCTCATTTAAAATTAACTTTTTGGCTATTAATGATGTAATATCCTAAGAAAAACACTTTTCCTACCATTCAAGTGAAAAATTACTCCCACTCTTCTTTGTCATCACTTCTGCAAGGGTTACCTCTGGCAGTAAAGGAATACTCCTTCTCTTTTTGAACTGCAAAATCAACATGAATAGTCAGGTTTTTCCAGGTATTTGTGTTAAAACTTCAATTTATAGGTAGCCTATAATTTTTCTTTCCTAAAATGATCCAAAAACAACAAACACTTTCAGATTTTTTCTAAGAATTTTGACTTTATTCTCAGAATTCAGACTTTTCTCAGATTGTTTCTTTCCTTTTTTCAGACTGTTTATACAGAAGAGGATTAAATTCATCTTTTTTTGCTGAAAATGTCAACATTCTCAGGTTAAAATAAGAAATCTGAGATTAAAGTCAGAATTCTGAATTTTTCTAAGACCTTTTTCTCAGAAATCCCACTTTTTCCTTTAATTTCCTTTTATCTGAGAATTCACGGGGGATTTTTTCCGAAAGAAAGATCGCTATTCTTTTCTTTTCTTTTCAATGACCCAAATTATCCTTCTCCTAATGTTTAGAACTAACTGGTACGATGAGGAAAGTTTTTTTTTTAGCGAATTTACCAAAACATTATTTAATTTTGTGTGAGAGGTTGATTGTTGTGTTAGAAAAACTGTCTGAATCCCGTGCAAAGCATCCGTATGAACAACGCAGATTTCGATCAGGCAAAGCGGAAGTCTCCAGTTTCCTGCCTCTACTCGGGTCCTGTTGAGCAGCCCGTGCGAGGCTGTCCTGGAGACCCCGCGCTGCCTGCACCTCTAACGTCTCGGGTGAGTTTGTTACAATGTAGCAATTTCTCTATTAATCCGAATAACCGTTACAAAGCCGCAATATCTGCCAACTGCGCACAAAACACAAACCGCATCGCTAACGCAATCGAAGCGCCACGCTGCCGCACCGCACCGTAAATACGTCCATTTTCCACCGAATTCCCAAGCATACCCCCCTCATCCAAGAGTATTCCAACATTAACTCATATTTTGCTTGCAATTAGCGATAGCTCGCTACGTAGTTGCGCTTAAACGTCCCCGGCAGGCGGCTCTTCTCGGTTCTGGCTGAACTGCGGTTCCGCTGTGCAGCTCCATGTTCAAATTGTGTCACTCGATGGTTTGTTTTGAATGTCAAAGGCTCAAGCTAGCTGTACGTCTCAATATTGTTGATAGCAGGTTAGCTCGCTAGGCTAATGCAACTCAGCAGAGCTGCATCAAAAAAATGACCAGAAATAGGGGTGAAAACTGGCTTTTAAAACCAAAAGTTTGGTTTCATTTGAGTTCTAAGCCAGGTGTGTTGCTGTCAAACGTTATGTGCTGGGAGAAATAATTAAAGATTGCTTGCAAAGCTGTTTAAAAACACCAGCTAGCATGTAGCAATCCGTTTGCAGTGTCTCCATTCAAATCCTGCGCACTGGGTTTGCTCTACCCGAGCAATGGCTCCGATCCGCTGCCTTCTCAGAGCGGCAACCGAGCTACCTTCATAGTATCGATGACCACTCTGCTTAAACACCGTGTGTATTTGTTGTGTTTGTGCTGCTGGAAGCTATGTGCACAGTTGTTACTTGTGATGAAGTCAGTGAGAGCCCACACTCGGAAATCTTTCCAGGTGGTGCGAAAACCGCGCGTTTTCAGTTTGTTGTCGGCTGTTTGTCGGTGTTTAGCAAATCTAAGTTTTGTCTGAGTTCATCCTAACCGCATCAGTGTTTATTATTACTGAGCCTGCATGTGAAAAGATGACGCGCTGCAAGTCAAAGTGAAAATAGTGCAAAAGAGAAAACACTGTTCTTTATTTTAGGACCTCATTTATAACAACAACACGAATTTACTTGTTTAATAGTAAATTAAACAAACATTTTAGGGAAGAATATGCAAAAATAACTGATAAATAACTTTTTCATATTACAGGAAAGCTACAATAAATGATGTTTTCTATCTTGCTTTGAATAAGTTGTTAGTTTCTGTTTATCTCCGGTTTTTAGCTGGTTGTATCTACTCCTGAGGTGTTTTTAAACTAGCTTTTTGTTGCACTGTTCTTGAGAAAACAGAGTTAACAGCTTTCTGGCAACATTAGAGATGTAGAGATGACAAGTAATTTATTATTTTACAATTATGATCAATTTTCTTGCTTTTAGTCAAAACTGTAGCAGCAGCATTTTGCCTGATTTGTTTTTGTTTGTTTTTATCAAATTGACTCAGTTTCAGTAATCTAAAAACTGAAAATAAAGACATGCTTCTGTTTCCCTGCATTTTTTTTTTTACTCTTTTTGTAATAATAGTCTTATGTGACTGTTAAAAATTTGAGACAGGTTTGTAGCTTGCTCTGTAATTTTTAGCCTCACCGGATCGCTACATCTCAAGATTTACGTTTTTGGGACTGAAAACAATGATTTTGGTCTTTTTCAGATTAAATTGGAAGAAATTATGACCCATACACTTTAAAAAGATGTTATAAACTCACTCAGTGATGGTAAGATACTGTGGTCATTAAATAAGACAGATAAATAAATCAGTGGGAGATAGATATTGAATAATATTGGCCCAAGAACTGGACTGTTATGATCGGTATGAATGTTCTGCAAAATTTCACCTTAAAAGCTTTTTTAGACCTTAATTAGCTGGTTTGTGGAATTTTTATACAATCTTTAGGATAGTAAATAAAATATTTCTTATAAAGTGGAGATTTGTTGTGTCTTTGACCGAAGAAAATAATTCTTCTTTATTCAAACATATTTACTTAAAATATGTTTAAATGATTTCTCGATGATGACTTTGTTATTTATCCACCTAAACGATCCTGTTCTTGGTTGTGATTGGA